TGCATTTGCCTTGTGAATTTCGGCCATGCATCCTCCAAATGCAACCCTAGATGCCTCCCACTCCTATAAATACCCAATGCACCACACCTTGTAAATACTTTGGATTATATGATATTGAGTGAGCATTATTTGCCTCAACATCTCTTCCTTAGCCACTAGGTTAACTTCGGCTAACCACCTTCATTCTCCACCCTTGGAGAGTGAAACCCTAGAGTGGCCTCCACCTTCACTTGGAGTGAGCCAACCTTTGAGCACCATACACTTCCGCCACCCTACACCATCTCACGTCTATCATCCTTTGTCCACCTTAAACACTCATTTCCCTAACCTTTGGTGAGCCTAGATCATGGGCAAGGTGACTCTCGTCAACACACCATCTTCAACCATGGAAGGGAGGTCTCCATCAAGTGGTATCTAGAGCCAAGGTTTATCAACGGTAATATCTTGTCTTTCTTGTCTTCTTGATTGTCTTTTTTTCTATTCGGTCATTTCTCTCCTTCTTGTCATTTCTTGTGTGGCCGAATAGTTTTAGGCTCATACTTTGTTCCTTGTGAGCCTTCCTTGAATATTTTAGGTTTCCATTGTGTTGGAGGGTTTCTTGTGCTTGGTTTTGATGTGGGCATGGAGGAGTGTAGTGGCGTGTGTGAAGCTTGACATGGTTTTGGTTTGGATAATTTGGTTTAGGGGACGTAGGTAGATGTGCTTTGGGTGGTGAAGAGGGAATTTGGAGTCTTGAGTTTTCGGGCAGGGACAGTTTGCCTGACCGTGTTGCCCGAGATACGACATGTTTGGTTCCTTAACATTGTGCCATGTGGAACCGTTATCTTCTCGAGCTAGGGAAACCCCTTCCATCTGCATGTACTACTTGTATGGTTAAATTATGGTTTCGGTATTTTATTCACATTTCCAATTTTAAAATTGAAAATAATTTAAATAAAAAAATAATAAAAAAGAAAAAGGAAAGTTACATATGTGTTAAAACTTAAAACATAAATTCCCACGTTTTCATGCAAATATCATTTTTTTTCACCCCCTAAAATTGGGAATAAATGTAGAAAATATGGTTGACAAACTTTCTCCAGAATATAAATATAACCAAGAATGATTTCTCAAAACTTGTAATAAACATAAGAATGTTATATTCTCTTGTTTATATTCCTCGGAATGAATTTGTAATCCATGAATCAAGTGTATCTTAAGAACTCGAATAAGAATCTTTTATTGGGGATGACCTAAGTAATATATATGTGACAAGGACCAATAAATCTAATATTTTATGGTTATAGATTTTTGTTAAAAAATAATTAACAAATAAAACGTACTAGATGCATATCAAGAGTCCAATAACTCATGAAGTGATAAACATTAGATTCGAAAACTTTTAACAGAAGAATATGAAAATAATTAATAATAACTCTTAAATTAAAATAAATAATTTAAATTAAAAAAAATATAAATAAAATTATTATGTATTTACTATTTGTTGTCATTATCATAATTTTTTTAATCATTATTGTTAATATTTTTTATCACATTTACCTTCATTACACTTTCACTATATCACCACCACTTTTATTGTCATTACCACCATTATTATCGGAAATAATAATTTCATTATATATACATATATATATATATATATATGTATATATATATATGAACAATTCGTGTAAGAACACTTGTTAATATGAGAAAACAAGAACAATTAATAATAACACTGAGATTAAAATAAATTATTTGAATTAAAAAATTACAAATAAAGTCACGACATATTACAACCATCATAGTTCTCAATATTATTGTTGTCCTATTCACGTTGTAATTATCATCATCACCACCACCTCTACTGTACTATTGCCACATCACTATAGTCGTTGCATTCCTCCACTACCACTATAGTGGCGATGCTAGTAGTAATGATGACGATAACAATAACGATAATAATGGTGGTAATGACAATAAAAGTGGTGGTGATATAGTGAAAGTGTAATGAAGGTAAATGTGATAAAAAATATTAACAATAATGATTAAAAAAATTATGATAATGACAACAAATAGTAAATACATAATAATTTTATTTATATTTTTTTTAATTTAACATAACATTCCGTAGATAATAATCATTTTTCTTGAAGTGATTCTTTATTGCTCAAAGTCAAGATAAAGGAAGTTAGAATTCAACTCTTGACAAATTTGTTTATGCATGTTAAGAGATGCTTTTCAAAATCCCTATTTTCATATAGTATTGTTAGATTTATTGGTGAGTTGTGGTTCATAAAAGAAATTTGGGGTTTTGATGTTCTCTTAAGTGAATTGAGTAAAAGTGGATAATCTTGATGCCTTATGTCATTTTTAGTTGAAAATGAGTTTAGAATATTGCATATATATGAAATTTTATGTTGCATGTGGTTGATTTCTAAGTTACGTGTGTGAATATGAAATTTAGAGTTGAATGACCTAGTAATTGCTCTTGTTTCGATGTTGAGCATTGTTGTGGATGTTGAGCTTTCAGGCTTACAAAGATTTCGATACTGAGCATTACTCTCAATGTTGAGCATTGGGCTCACATAAATTTAGGTGCTGAGTGAAAAATGTCATGTTGTGGTTTTCTGTAATTTTTCTTATAATAGATGATAGAGTTAGAACTTAAAGTCTTCATAAGAGTTATAAATAACCATTTTAGCTTTCATATGAGATAAATACGAGTTTCATTGGATTAGTGGAACTCCAATTGTGTTGAGTTATGTGAACATTGTCATTGTACTATTATTGATTTTGGTAAATTATATGTTGATACATATGATGGGTGAATTTGGTGAACATGAATAGAATATTTGTGTCTATTGCATATTGTATGATGTATGATGATGATGATAAACATTGACATGCTATTATGATTAAGTTGTCTAGCATTGATATGATATGTATGACGAATGTGCTAAAGTTTGCAAGGTTTAAGTTGTGTATTGGCATTAATATGTTATTATGATTAAGTTGTCTAGCATTAGTATGCTATGTATGATGGTGTAATTTGATCTTTATATGTATTGACTTGAGGTAATGTATGCAGATAATGAATGTTAAGGTGTGGATGCTGAGAATGCTTTGAGGATTAAGGCATGTTGACTAATTTAGGACTTGAGAAAAGGAAATGTTTTAGAAACTAAAGATCCCACATAGGGGGTCTTAAAGTAGTGCTCGGGTAGGTCATTGCTAGAAAACATTCCTTAAGTAAGTGCGTCTCTTGGAGCGGGTTTTGAAGTGTCTTAAGTATCATTTAGGTCTTTAATCAATGATTGAGTAAGGTAAGAGGTTGAAGGTTACAACTCTTAATCGAGTACTTGGAAAGGTTGCATGGTTCCTTGAAGATAATTAGTGAATGAATTCCATATGTGACTTTGTAATGTATGTCAAGGTCGTGGTAAGTTTATATCTAGTTGTATTATTCCTAATAGTGGAACCAGACTTTCTTAGTGTAAATGATAAGATTCGAAAAATTATATGAGGGATTGATATCCCACTTTGTTGTGACCGAGTCGGTGCTTCATATAAAATGAGTATAAAATCATAAGTATGTAAATAATTTTGATGCTAGTTGATGATCCATAAAATGTAGTGATCATTATGAGTTGTTACATTTATTTATTTTTAACTCAAATAACTAAATATATTTTATATTTATCAATTTTATGAAACAATCTAATCCAATTAATTATTTTATAAGTTTTAGGTTTTGAACTCATATATATACATTAATACATATATACTGATTATAGGTAACTTAAAAATTAAAATTTTCAAACACATTCAATTTATATTAATATTCAAAAGAATCAATCAATAATTAATTGGATAAATAATTATTGCACTCTAATTACAAAAATAATATATAATAAATTTATTAAATTTTAATAATTATTTTAAAATTAATACTTACTATTTTTTTCTTTGGAAAGGATAATAAGATAGAACACTAGAACATTATTACACTAACTCCTCAAGAAATTAAACTCAAAATTATTTATACTACGTGATTAGGTGAAAAGGATACACTTTATACCTTTTTTTTATTAAAAATAAATATAATAAATAATTATTTAAGAGATAAGAAGTTTTGAGGTAATTATTTAGGTAAAATTATATAAATAAATAAATAAACTAATTTATAGAGTAATAAAAATGAATTAATTTAAAAATTTATTTACACAAAAAGAAACATCTCTTTTATTAGTAATTAGCAAAATAAAAATAATTTATGTCTTTATAAATTTTATTTAAATAAAATATGTAACTTTTAAAATAAAAATAGTGAATTTGAATCATGCAATTACGATAAAAATATTTTAAAAAATAAAAATAAAAACAAAAGTAATTTTAAAAAATTATAAATTAAAAGAAAAAAAATAAAAAATTCAACATATCTCTTTATTAATGTTATAAATATATAAACTAATATCATTCATATAATATTTTTTTTATTGAATTTTGTAATAATAATATTATTTTATTTCTTTCTGAAGTTCCATTATTTATTTGATCATTTACTTCTATTTCTTCGTGATATCTCTATTGTACTTCCATAAATCTTTACACGATATTATTATAAGAACAATTTCTCTTTCAAAGTTCACTTTCTCCCGGCCCACCTCCCAAAATTGTACTGATGGTAAAATAAAAAAAAAAAGAAAAAACAAATCCTCTTTTTAAAGTTTTATACTATCTTAGAAGTGCGTGAAAATTTCACATTTCGTGTAAAGAGACACTTCACACCTATGTCCATGTCTCTTTGCTTCGCTGCAAAACCTTTTCCTCTTCAACTTCACCATTTCTCCAACATTACTTTTCTCATGTCACACTGTCTCCAGCACATCACAAAAGCATTGTAATTCGGTCGCATGAACAACTATGATACGGTAACAGTTTCATATAACAACAACAACATTTGTGACACAAACTTGTGAAATGAAGACATGGCTAAATCCAAGTGTTGCATGATCTCTTCACAGCAAAGCCAGAATGCCTCTTCTTGTTACCCTTTTCCTTCTCTTTCCATGATGGGGTCTCTCTCTCTTGCTTCCTCCAACTGTGCCACACTTTCGAATGCTTCTTCATCTCAAGAGAGTTGTGGCTATGCCTCACCAAATGGGAGGAGCACAAGCTGGACTTTTCCTTTCATGAGGGAGTTCCTTTCCTCTAACTTTGAAGTCTGTAGTGATGTTGTTGGGGTAGGGGAAAGTAACAGTTGTGACAAAATAAAGCAAAGTGCCAGGTTCAATGAAGAGAGTAACCCTAATGAGAACCTTGTCAGTGGCAAAGAGGTTGATAGTGGAAACTCCAAACTTTGTGCAAGAGGGCATTGGAGGCCTGCAGAAGATTCCAAGCTCAAGGAACTTGTGGCTCTTTATGGCCCTCAGAATTGGAATCTCATAGCTGAAAAACTAGAAGGAAGATCAGGTGTGACAACAAAGTGCAAAATCAATGCTAATTAACTTCATTATGAGCCTCTTTGGATACATACACACAAGAAGTGTTTTAAGATCTTCTTTTATTAGAAATAGTTCAGTTTTGTCTTAAAAAATTGTCTAACTTGTATTCAATTAAGTTCTTGTATTATTTTCTCTTATGGTGTGAGTGTATTTTATATCATTTTCTCTTATGGTGTGAGTGTATTTTATAGAAGTTGTAATCTTCCCTTAAGTTTCTTTGATGTGATTTATTTTGTATATGAATTAGGGAAGAGTTGTAGATTGAGGTGGTTCAACCAGTTGGATCCAAGGATCAACAGAAGGGCATTCAGTGAAGAGGAGGAGGAGAGGCTAATGCAGGCACATAGAATCTATGGCAACAAATGGGCCATGATTGCAAGGCTTTTCCCGGGGAGAACAGATAACGCAGTGAAGAATCACTGGCATGTTATAATGGCCAGGAAGTACAGAGAACAATCCAGTGCTTACAGGAGGAGGAGAATGAGCCAATCTGTTTACACAAGAGTGGAGCAAAATCCAAGCTTTGTTTGCAGCAGAGATAATAATAATAATAATGATAATAATAATAATAATGCCTCCACAACTGAACCAGAACCATCACCTTCCTATTGTCTCAACCTCCGCCACAATGGAGCAGCACTCAGCAATAACATGCCTAGTTTCCCGTCCTTCCAAGGAATTGTACCAGCTGTGGTTGGTAAGTTTGGCTTGAATGGTTATGGTGAGAGAGAAGCAATGTCAAACACTCCACGACATGTTGGAATGTGTGCTCAACAAGCACCATTTGATTTCTTCTCTGGTGTGTCCTTTCTCTCCTTCATTATTCCCTCTTAACTGAATCTTTTTGGTCCTTTGCCTCCTGCAAACTGCTTCCATATAAATGTTCCTTAATTCTCAAGCTTTAACAAGCTTTTTCTTTTCCTTTAATTCCAAATTTCCAATCAAGTTTAATTAATAGTAGCATCTTCTAAAATGGTTTGTAAAAGTGATGCAAGTCATCTTTAGGTTGCCTTAAATTTTGTAACACAAACCTATGGTATGACTATGAGCATGTTGATGCAAATTTCATTCTTGTTAACTAACATTTTCCTATGGTATGTCTATGAGCATGTTGATGCAGATTCCATTCTTGTTAACTAACATTTTCCTATGGTTTTGAAAGTTGGTAGAAGCAATGACATGATGGGGGAGTCTACGAGCCAGGTCAGATTCAGGGAAAGGACTAATGAATCTCATAACCATAATTGCCAATTATCTGGTTTCTACCCTCATTACCCCCAACAACACTTGACGGCAATGCAACAACTAGACAACAATTTTTACAGTGTTTTGAAATCCTCCTCAGCATCGACAACAAGCACAGCCAAGGAACCATCATCATCACCATGTGTCGCAGAAATGAAAGATAAAGTGGTGAATAGTGACCCCCCAGATGGTGTTCCACTTCCACCCCAATTTTTTGACTTCCTTGGAGTAGGAGCCACATGATCAGATGATCCAAAAGCTGCAAACTTCCCCGGAAGTTCCTCAATATAGGTGTGGTCCAACATAACTGAGAAGCCATTCGAGGCATATAGAAAGGAAAGGATAGTTGCTTGAGTTTGGTTTGGTGCACTGTGTAAACTTGCGTCACTACCTGTGTGTTGATGGTGATATCACCCGTCTCTATTGTCATTTCCTTTTTTTTCTCACATATGGGGGACCCTTCTGGAAACTATTTCAAAATAATGCTCATAATTTAATTCCATTACCATGATCTTCCCTATGCTCAGCTTCAAGTTCTTATTTATTTTTTTTCCTTTATATGGTTAATTTTTTTTAGTTAAAACCAAATGAAAGATGGAAAGGGTCATGTGGGGTATTAAATATGTCCTAGACATTCTTTGTTTCTTGTAATGTGTTGTATGGTTAATTCGTTAGGAATGTGTGTATGTGATGATGGAGCTAATCAAACATTTTAGAGGAAAAAATGTTAGGGTAGGACAATAATTGGCGAGGGTTGTTTTACATGTAGCTACAGAAAGATGAATTGTGAACTGTGTTGGAAAATATTATTGACGAGAATAGTCCAAGTCCAAGAAGAGGAGAAAAGGGGAATGGGTTAATTGGAACTGTTGAGAACATCGCTTTCTCATGGGCCTTGAATGCAATAAGTGAGAGGCACAAATTGTGCAACCGACTTCAAATGTGCATTCATTGTGGGAACTGTTCTGTTCAATATCCTTCTCATCAGCAGTGCTTTTGTGAGAATTCATGCCCCTCTCTTATGTGTGGTCTTTATTAAGCTTTAAAATGAAAATGTATAACAAATGCAAATATCATCATGGTTAAATGTAATGTACAAAGTGCTTCTTAATTATACTATGTTATGAGGTTAGTCATTAATTTTAATTGTACATACATATTTTGTATCAATATTATAATAAAATTATGTATATTAAAAGTTGTAAGAGGTAACATTATAAAATATAGATATATTTTTTGGAAAGGATATAAAATTATGATAAATTATTAGTTATGTGGGAAATGAAATACATGTTATAAAAGTATGTTGTAGGAATAAGAATGTGTAGTGAAGGCAGATTGGTGAGGCTAAGAAATTTTTTTGATGAGACTGTTTATCTGATCCAAGAAAGTGTATTATTTATGGGAAGGCAGCTTCACGTCAGCTGTTTCGCTATCACCTATCAGTAACGTTAACAGTTACAGCAGTATAAAGCACAGATAACAAGGGGATATATGTTAGAAGAAAAAAACAAACACACACATTTTTTAATAAAAGTATATTTTAATTATTTATTATCTCATTTATGATTTATTTGGTGGAAGTGATATAATAAGAATGAGATAGATTAAAGTGGATTTTGAAAAAATGTTGGGTAGAGTCTATTTATTAATGGAATTAAGAAATTAGAGATGGATTCTATGTTATTTTATTATGGTAGAATTTACAAGACAAACATATATAATTATCTATTAATGTCATGGTCACTATATATTTGATTATGTTTTGATGGTAATGAATAAGGTAACTCGCAATATTTAATTATGTTTGAATATTAATGCATTGTGAAAGTAATTGTTTTTATTTATTTATTTTACATAAAAATTTAATTATATAAAATATAATTTTAAAATATTAATTTCTTTTTATATTTTATCTAATTTTATTTTATTAAACAATTAAAATTTTTACTCTATCTTATATTTATTTCATATCTTTCAATTCCTTCCTTTTCAAACAAAACATTAGTAACACTCTCCTTAAAATATTTTTTTTTAATACATAACCTTTCAATTTTACTACATTTTTTTGACTTTTGTAATAAAGACAACAATGATATGAAATTAATAAAATTTAATACAAATAACTAATACTTTTAATATATGTAAAATTAGTTTTTTTTTATATATGACTTATAATAGAGAACATAAATATTATATAGGAGCACAAGAAGTCCTAATTATGAGTAACATACAACAAATCATCACTATCAAGAAAAATAAATATGTTAATTATTTTTAATTAATTCTATCATAAGTTCAGATCTTACTTCAAAAATATCATTTGTTTTTAGTGGTTTATATATTTAATGTTGGTTATAAGTAAATACATAAGAAATATAATTAATAATAAATTATGAGTATAAAATAAATTTATTATTAAATGACTTAAAAAAATAATAGTCACATATAATTAAGATAAAAAGATGTCAATTTGTTACTTATAATTAAGACTAAAGGTAGTAGTTATTAAGTGTCAAAGTAATTTTTTTAATAACAAGGTATAATTCTTTTCCATCAGATCAGTTTTTCTAGGATAAAATTAGAATTTGATCATAAAATAGAAGTGTCAAATCATTTACGCTAATAATTATAAATATTTTAATACTTTTTATTACGGAAAAAAATTATTAAAAATTAAAATTTTATGTATTGTGCGTTTCCATTAATAAGTTTATTTTCATAAGTTTTAATCAATTTTTGGTGTAAAAAACGTTTCAATAAAATATATAATTTTCAATAACTTTAACTGATGGTAGACATTAGCATAGTAACATATTTGGATGAGAAATTTTAAAATTTTAAAATTTTTTGAAATTTGAATTATTTTGATTTTAAATTTTTACCATTTTTTAAATATCTTTTTGAATAAATTAATTATAATTTCTTAAATTTTAAATTTTTAGTTTGGATATGTTAATTTGATTTCTATGATAGATAAAATTGATTTTAAAGATATATATACATATTAAATATTTAATAATTTTAAAAATTAATATAAGACAATGTTTAATAATTTATTTTTTTTAAAATATTCAATAATTAAGAGATATGGGAGAGAACTAAAAGATATACATCAAGATAAAAAATAAAAAATAAGGAGAATTTTAAATTCTTATTTTTGTAAGAGAATTTCAAATTTTACTATTTTAAGGAACTTCATAAATAGATTTTAAATTTTTGTAAATTCTCTATTCAAACAAAGCATTTCATTCCAAGACATTGAAATTCTTCACAAAAGAACTAATTACTTGATGGCAAACTCTAGGAGAAGTGATAGGTGTCTTCTCCTCGGATTCACCAAAGCTTGGATCTGTTCAAGAAGACTTGAAACCGAAGTAAAGAACTCTTAAGATGAAGGATGATTTTCGGAACTAAGGTTTCCTAAGCTATGGAGAGAAGTATCCAAGCTTAAGAAGCAAAGGATTTCTCACTTCAAAAGGTAAGAACTAGGTAGAATTCCTAAGGTTCTTGAAGGCAATATCTAGGAGACTTTTGGGAGAAACTTGGCAAATGAAATGCTCTCAAATTTCTCAAGTTCAAAAGTGATTACAATGTGTGAAGGAGGGAGCTTATAGAACCGGAATTAGGGAGCATTTTGGCGCCAATGTGAAAGCTTCATATGTGGCGCCAATATTTGAATTCAAAATTTGAATTTTGAACTCAAATCTAAACCCACATGTGCAAGTCCGAATTCAATGGGTGCTAAATGCATTTAGGTTTGATTTAGTGTGTATTTAGGGTTGAATTTGAGTCACACATGTTCAGCCAAGGTGGCTCCATCCATGTGACTCAAAATGCAACTTAAATGCATACTAAATTAAACCTATTTTTGCCTAATTCATTTAAACAAGTAATCCTCCTTAAATCCTAAACTAATGGCCTAAATACAATGGCCAAACATATACAAACATTAGGAAATAATAAAAGAAACAAAATGAGCCCAATATTGGGTACCAAAAGCCTAAAGGCCCACAAAGCCCAAAAACAGGCCCAATAAGCCTATGACCAAAAAATGCTAATCTATGTGGTCCAAAATATAAGACCAAAATATGTGAAACCTATACTAATAGAATATGTACAAAATATAAGAAAATGGATTTATCAAGATAGGCCCATGAGATGCTCAAATTGGGCCTTCCAGGCCCATCAGGCCCATTGGGCCTTGACTGGCCCAAACCTTCATCTCTAGCCAACTCCTCTTGGATCTTTTAGGTTGTCACCTCTTGCCTTCCTTAGCATGATTCCATCATCCCCTCCCTCTTGAAAAGGATTTGTCCTCAAATCTCGAGGATGTATGGAATAAAAATTATCACCTACATACACAACATGCCAAGTATAAGAGGTAAAATTTTCATGATAAGAAAAGGAATTATGGATCCTAAGAGGAGTCCTTCTATCTAGCCTAAGAAAGAAAAATAAACTATCAAAATTAGACTCCCTAAAAATAAAAATAGGATCTTTTTCTAAGCATAACCTAGAATAAAACCCTAAAAATGTAATAACACTAAGACTAATATAATAGAAATAAAGATTCTTAAAAACCAAAACATATTGCCTAAAGTACCCTAAATGGTAAGCTAGGCATTTCCTAGAATATAAAGAAAAGACTACGAGAAAACTTCCTAAACAATTTTGAACTTGATTGTTTGTTAGATACTTATAATCATATAAACTATATTTGTCTTGTAGGGAAGGAATCAAATTAAGTTCAAAGGAGAAAAAACTTCCCGTAGGATCAAACATAGAATATAGTTCATTACAAGTTGTATCCACCAAACAATGTAAGCTAAACATTGGGTGCTTTATTAAGTCTACAGAAATACTTTCTTCCTTGTGCACCTCCAAGGGAGTAGTATAAGGAGTAATACTAGAAATAGTGCACTCCTTCTTCACAATATCTTGAAGTTGAGAATTATTTGTTTGATGATTTTGTTGCTCATTTTCAACTTCATGATCAGTGGTAGTATTAGGATAAGAGTTAAGATCCTTATGTATAAAGAGAGTATTTTTCATGGGTTGTTTAGTGTTAAAGTAACTCTCCTTAATCACAAGTTCTTTAGAGGAAATATTTTCCTCATTACTCTTCCCTAAGAGAAATGCCTTTTTTCTTTCTCTTTCTCTTGTTTTTCTCAATTTTTCTTTTGCTAAAAGTTTTTCTTCTTTGTGTTTGAGAATGAGAATTTCTTCCTCCAAAATTACAAGTTGTGCTTTTCTTTCAAGTTTTTCTTTTTCTCTTTTTAACACTTCTTGCTTTGTCCAAGGTGTTAGTGGCTTAAGCTCTTGAGTTGATTGAAAAAAATGTTTTGAAGAGCTTGATTCACTAATACCTAAGGAATGTTTTCTCATGATTTAAACAAAAAAAAATTATATGCTATGCAAAAAAAATAAAATATTTTTGGTATTTTCTAGGAACAAAAATAGCACTTGGAAGTCTAAGTGTATAAGTTGCACTATCAAGGGAGGTGAGCTACTAAGAGCCACTTAATAACCAAGCCTTTTCAAGTGGAAATCACTAAACTCCTTTGTGGTATTTTCAATTCCCCAAAGATTTTCACAAAGATTTTTATGTGTATGCTTTTCACAATTTGTTTTTGAAGCTATCTAAGCGTGAACAATAAAATCTACACAAGTCTAGACGAAACAAGGCAGCAAAGTAAACACAATTAAGATCAAACAACCAACTTAAAGGAAGCAAAGGTAAGCAACTAGTCGATTTGCCCTAAGTGGAAGCTTGAAACATATGAAATTTCCAAGTCACTTCCACTAGTACTACACGTGAGTAGGCTACCAAAGGTTAGATATACCTGACCAGCTTCTTAATACTCCCCTCCAAGATTTACAAATTGATTTAAAATACAAGAGAATTGACAAAAATTTAAACTAAACTAGAAAGCAAATAATGGCGGCTTTTGTGACCAAATTAGTGACGGATTTGTTGTCCAATTTTCTAACACTTGTTTAAGTGTTTCAATCCGCCACTAACCCTTGAATCAAGTTGCTCCTGGACCCTGCACAATGAACACAACAAAATGGTCAATGTAGGCTGCTCACAAGGTTA